GGATTTAAATTTTAGGGGGTCTTAATGGGGGCTCTAATGATTTATTAGGGGGTAGGGGGTCTTAAAAACCTCCCAGCCCCCACGCTGCCCCCGCCACGGGATATATTTGATTCAAACAGTGTCCTTTTGCATTGCACTACAATGCAAAAAATAAAAAAAATTAATGCTCAAATAAATTTGAAATAGGGACGCTAAAGAAAAGAATAATAAAATAATTAAGAACCAAGAAAATTAAGGAAAAAGTTGTGTTACAACACAATATACTACTGTACCATATATATGGTATGCTCAGACCGATTGGAGATTATGTACCTCACGGTGTAAATTAATACGCTTAACTCAACAAATTGGTATTTCCCAAAAATGCCAAGAAGATTATAATGAAATCTCATATATCCAGAGAATATACTTTGTATAAAAATCTACTAGTTAAAATTGGTGTGCATTCTCTTTTTAATTAAGCAATCCTTTTGCACTTTCATGCACATGGCATCAGAGATGACATCAAATGGAATGTACCAATACAAATAGTCAATGCATCTATCCAGCCGTCCTTTTCACAATGTTTGCAACAGTTCTCTTACCATTTTTGCATAGTACAATTTCCATGTTCTATTGAGTAACAAACTTGAAGACCTTAGCTTGTCTGGTGTTTTCAAATAAACTCACCTAAGAGTGCACAATATAGCCAGCCAGTCCCTGGATTGAGTGGTTTTTTTTGTTTTTAAAACCAAAAGATAATTATGACGTGGGATGAGAGTTCAAGGATGCTTCCCAATTACATATTTGTAGCTCCACAATTACTACAATACTATAACTGATAAAATAGAAAGGCACGCGATACATTGAAGAACTACTTAAGCGGGCCGACAACAAGGATGATATAGTCGCCATCAATGGAATAATGCGAAGGTACTCGGAAAAGTGAAACTCCCAAATGAGAATAGACTGGAGACTAGTGGACTGCCATTGAACATCCCTATTTGTTCTCAAACATCTTAAACACATTGTGATCAAACATCTAAAGAAAATCTCACTATTATGTGAAATTCAAAATCAAATGACTAATCATATATATTGTCAATAGCTAATCATCAATATATTGTAATCGAAGATCAGTAATTTTATACTCTAGATAAGTATTCAAAGGATTTGGATCCTATGACTTTGCATGGTAATCAAAGTCAGAGTAGCACAATATCGGTGATTTTGGGATATTTTATAGCCGTTGGATTTACACAAATGGATGAGGTAGTGGCGCTACAACATTTGATGACATTAAATTTGCTAGGGTATAGACAATGTGTTGCACTATTCTTAAATGAATTACTACAAATCACTATAGCACTATACTCAATTTTGCGGCGCACTATACTCAATTTTGCGGCGCTCCTCTGCCTTCACATGCACGACATTATGGATCACATCAAATGAAAATATATCCTTCCATATCAATAGTCATTACAACAAATTGTCTTTTTCACATTGTTTATAACAACTCTCTGACCACATCGTAGTACGCCTAAAGTCCTAAATTAATTATGTTGATATCGTTTGCAAGTTATTTAACGAAGTGCATATGAAGATAGATATGATAAAACTTATGATCGATTGAGTGGAATAGTCTTTTCTTAGAGGATGCTTGACCAAGTCGAGTTTCGCTACTTTCTAGATTAAAACTGGTATGAGGTGTGTGATCACCGAGATCCGTTATGCAGTAATAGTCAATGGAGAGTTGAGTGATCCTGTGATCCCTACACGTGGTATATGGCAAGGTGATCCCATTTTTCCATATATATTCTTAACCTGTACATAGGGATTGTCTTGTCTGCTGAAAAACAAGGAAGGGGAAGGTTCTCTATAGGGATTACAAAATGGTAGATTTGGTCCTCCTATATCTCACTTACTCTTTGCTGATGATAACATTTTACAAAAGTATCTTTGCTGATGATAGCATTTTACAAAAGTACAGAAGGCCTTGAAATCAACTCTACAGGCCTTGAAATCAACTCTACAATTTGATTCTGAGGGCTCACTTTATTTGATTCTGAGGGCTCACGGCAGAAAGTGAGCTTCTCAAAACCTCCAGTTTAAGTACCTTTGTTCCTCATTGTCCTGTTGCCACAATGTAATAAGCCTGCCCTCCAGAACCGCGTAGCCTAGCCCAACCAACGGGCGAACCCACTTACATTTTTGTCCTCGCTTCATGTAAAAGGGTTAACCCAAGAGTGGTATGGCTGGAGAGAAGAGGCCTTATAAGCTGGTTCCATCCCTGCTAAACTGGCAAGGTGGTACTAAACATGTGCACACAACTTTCATGGGCCACACATGTCAAATCTTAATTGGACCAGGATGTCACACACAAGAAATAATGTTATGGTTAGACTGCAGATTTAGAATGATGCTTTGAAGTCTACATACTTGGACGTGCCTATCGAAGTAGGACATTCTCCCACTAAGTCCTCTAATTTCTTGCAAGAGAGAACATGGAAATAGATAAATAGTTGGACTGATCACTTGATCAACTGTTATCTATAGCTAGAAAAGAGACCCTTGTTAAGGTTGTGGTTCAGTCGATTTTAACTTTGTTATGAGATGCTTCCATATTCTAGCTACAACTTGTTAGGAGATGAGGAAGTCGATTGCTAATACTTGTTGGGGGTTGAACACGGAAAGAAAAAGATGCATTTGCATTCTTGGATTAGCTTTTCTCACCGAAGTTCCTTGGTAGTTTGGGGTTTAGAGATCTTCAACTTTTCAACTAGGCCAAGTTAGGAAGACAAGTGGCACCTTCTAACATATCTCGATTCCTCATGTGCTAGAGTACTTAAATGTCATTATTTTCCTAATATGATTTTTTGGCATGCAAGTTGTCCTAGACCGGCTTCCTATACTTAGCATAGTATCATGCGTGGCAAAAAAAAAACTTTTGGAACAAGGTATTCTATGGAAAATTGGAAATGGATATGTTCTAATTTGCCAAGACAAATGGATACATGATGACATAAGTTATCAATCCGGTGCTAAAAGTTTGCTCATGATATCCAACAATCTAGGCAATATATTTGCTCCTGATAACTCGAAGTGAGCAGATAGTGGAGTTATCATGAGAAAATAGTGAATCTATTTGGAAATCAATTTTATCAATCCGGAGCAAACCGAAGACTTGTTTGAATTTTTCTCATGATTGTTTGGCCACAAGATATCAACTTCAGAGGCTACATATTCCTGCCCTTTGTGTTGTTTCTATGGCCATGAAGTGAAAGTTGAGCATTACTTCTTATTGTGTCCTTTTGCGACATCTATCTAGAATATTATCAAAACACGGTTTGACATTCAATTGCAAAGGAAACTTCTTTGTAATGCTAAGCTGTGGTTGTTTGATCTACTGAATCGTTGCAACGAAGTGTAGTGTGTGGTAGTGGCTGGTACTTGTTGGCATGTCTGAGTAGTCCAGAATCTATGGTATGCCCCAACTAATAGTTAAGAAAATAAACTTATGTGGATATAATTGTTATGGACTGTTTGAAGCCAAGGTAGTCGTCAAAAGACAAAAATTTCCTAAACAAGTTCAGAAATGTAGCCCACCACAAGCTGGTTTGGCTAGCCTCAATGTCGATGCATCAATCTTTTCTTCTTCATCGAGTTTGGCTATTGGTGTGGTGGTGCAGGGCCATATAGGAAGATGTCTATTAGGTTCCTGACGAGTTTTTCAAAGCATCACTACACCCGAGATTGCTGTCAAAGCATCACTACACCCGAGATTGCAGAAGCACTTGCTCTTCGATTTGTTGTGATCTTTGTGCTATGATGAAGGTTTTCATAGGTGATTTTTCATTCTAATTGATTGAAGCTAATCCAAAGAGTGAATATTATGCAAAGATTGTAAATGTCCTATTGTTCCCGATATCAAGTCTTTGGTAAGAAACTTTGTTTCGATTTCATTTCTTCATACAAACCGTAATACTAATGAGATGGCTCAGCTGTTGGCAAGAACAAGTGAGTATGATAGTTATTTGACCATTCGATAGTGTGTTCTTGGTTGTTCTAGAACATTGTAAATTTTGAAAGTTTCTGCAAAGAATGTACCAACATTGATCTGAAAAATCCTCAACCCCTTCCCGTGGCTTGAGTATAGCGACCGCGAATACACAAGTGTATGCTAAAATCTTAATCAATCATCTGTAAGAAAAAGACATTGTTATATTAGGTGTAGTTAAAAAAACAAACAAAGGAGTGCAGTTTCACTAACACGGTTTGGTCCCAAGTTTGTAGCTGGCTGGACATCATGCAGACCCCAAATCAACTACAGGATGCAAACATTTTAGAATGGTGGACCTCAATCATACATTCAACTTATGGAAGGAGAAGAAGAAAACTGATAGGGGCACTTCTTATAACCTGGTGGCAGGTGTGGCTTGAGCGCAATCGAAGAATTTTCCATCAAAAGCAACTAAGTGCCACCCAAGTAGCTTTCTTAGTAAAGGAAAATATAGATGCCATTCAGATTTTGCGCCATACATAAAGGCTTGTGCTTAGCTCTAGTTGATAGCATCATGTATGTAAATCTCTGAAAATGAAAACTGAAAATGTCACCTAGTGGTCTGCTCTTTCTTGACCTCTGTAACTGCTTTTCCTTCTAATATATCCGGCAGAGCTCCTGCCGTCTTTTGCTTAAAAAAAATAAACAAATGTTTTTGTCCACGACTATACCATCAACATATCATGATTAAAGATGAGTCTTTATATTCCTTAGATAAGTAGGAAATGGTTAGCTATTTTGTAGTTTACATATAGAACCAATATGTTTGTTTTACACTTTTGTTGGGTGAGTCATAGATGATAACTTTAACGAGACAAAAGTTTACACTATAAGCTTAAAGTCTATCTCGACTTGGATCCGGATCCAGCTGATCCGAGGCAAGAGTTTCGAGCTTTTTGCCACCAACAGATTTGTATCTAGTTACTTTTGGTGAGTAAGCAGCAGAAGGGGGTACAGAGAATCCGTAGCTGGAAGCAACAAACAAAGAAAGAAAGGGCTGTTCGTCTACAAATACTACCCTCCCGCTCTTCTTCTCTTCCTCCTCTCCTCTCCGCCATTAAACCTCACAAAAATAATTAAAAAAAATACCCCCAAACTTTGCAAAATTTTTTCTCCCCAAATCCACCCAAAAATCCTTCATCCCCAATCTTCTCAATTCGCGAATTCATCCTCTCCAGCAATCGCCCCCCAGTTTTTGTTTTCTCTTTCTCTCTCTCGATTTTGTGTTTCTTGAGGTGTTTCTTTGTGGCCTTCTCGTCGCCATTCTTGGTTGGATTAGGGTTAGGGTTCGTCGGGATGAGGGTGCACGAGGAGGCGTCGGAAGACAAGGAGCGGGAGGTGGAGGAGGCGCCGGACCTGATGCCGCTGTCTCCGCCGCTGACCGCCGCCGCCACTGCCGCCGTGGTTGCGGTGGCGGGGCAGCGGCTGGTGGTGGGCTACGCCCTGACCAAGAAGAAGGTGAAGAGCTTCCTCCAGCCCAAGCTGCTCTCGCTCGCCAGGTAACTTCTTTAGTTGTGATCCCGCGTCAAATTTGGAATCTTTTCTGTGGCTCTCGGAGGAGGCGTCTTCGTCTTGTGGGGGGATTTCATGACAATAAAAAGAAAAATGGTCTATTCTTTTTATTTATTTATTTATTTATTTATTCTGAACCGAAGAGAAGCCCTCCTAGTACGCTTCTTTAAGGCCTAATGGTGCTTAATTTCAGTGCATCAGATGGCATGTGCATTTGTGATGGATCCACGGTCAGATTGTGTTTTAGTATTGTGAGGCAAGAACAGGGAAGCGATTTAATTAGAGTCTAACTTGATTTATCTTATCTGAAATGGGAATGTAATCACTGCTGTTGGCTGAATCTGTAAGTACTGATTAAATTAGTGAGTTAGTTATTATTATGTTGTGGGAGTTTAGTGGATAGTGAGAGTGGCTCTTATGCATGTGAGACAGATGGTAGCTACAATTGGTCTCAGTATTATCTTACTACTTCTGGAGGGAGGGAGGGAAACTGGGAGGTTGGCGTCTTAATTATATGTCCTGTACTAATCACTAGTCTCAGTTACGTTTCTGTTGTGTTGTTGACTGCTTGTGATAGCTTATCTCCTTGTCAACTTGGAAATGTTGGCATTTCTTTAATATGCGATCCGTCTATCCTACGGTTGGTATATGGGATTGGAATATTCTTGGGGATAAACACCTCTCAGGTCTTTGAAACGGCCTGAGGGAAAAAAATCAGATCATTCACCAAAGTATAATTTACTTCCGTGAATCAGCTTGACCTGAATTTAACTATAGTATGCACGTGTTGACTTGACTATGCATTGATACATTCTCTTCCAGCATAGAATCCATGAAAATGATAGGTTCCTGTTTTGTAGTTGCAGGCTTGCAGCATAGGAAGTGTACTTTTTTCCTGGTTGGTGAACCATGACTCTCTTCAGAAAAAAAAAGAGAGATTTTATTCTTCTAGATTTACTGGTAGTCTCCTTTGATATTTTATAGGAAGCATTTATTCATAAATATTATCAGATGATTTATACATAAATAGTCTCCTTTGCCATTTAAAAGGTTAGATTTCAAGGACCCTACAAAATGCCTTTTTGTCTGCAATAGTTTTAAAGCATCATATTTTGTTTGTTGAAGACTTGAAGTGATCAAGTTTTCAATGCTTCCAAAACACAGTAAAAAATTCTGGAATGAATTTAAAGTCAGGTGTTAGCTCAAAGATTAAAGCTGTTGTCAGTATTATACACAAGCTCATGATGTGTTGTAAAGAAAATAGAGTTCGCTTTACCACAACAATTGATGACATCCAGATGTTTTTCCCCCCTACCTGTAGCCTCTTGGGAACAAAAATATTAGTGGTGTTTGGGTAAGATGTAGCAGTAGAGAAGTAGTGAGGTGTTCTGACAAGTGTATGCCTTTAGTTAGGATGGTATACTTGGCTACATTTGCGATTGAATCAACAGATCACATAGTAAAATATCGATATTCCAGAATATAAAATCGATACACTATTTTTTATTAGATATACTAAAATGCAAAATCAGGGGAATTGCCATGTGGTTCCAAGCCAACAAACTACAAAGATGCTACACTAGACAATATGCTGATGCCAGTGATAACATATACCTGAGTGCTACATTGGCATTATAGGATGTTGTTCAGAACAATGGGTAGGGGCGACTACTTCTCAATAAAACTGTGTTGATGCTGTTTATTTAATCATTTTACAGATATGTTGTTTCTGGGGTATTTATTCTGTTCCTCCCTTTGCTTAATAACATCATCTCTCTTAGCTTCTTAAACAACTGGTTGATTAATGCTACTGTCTAGGAGGAAGGTTTGAGAGTTTATGTTGCTACATAATTTTTCCTTGGTATTCAAGTTGTATTCAATGTCTTCCCAGAAAGCCAATATTAAATAGAGGTAGAGTAAATAAAACTAACTTTTCATATTTAGCTGGAGCCGATGCGCTCTATGAGCTTCTCATATGGTCACTTGCTCCGGATGGTTAGTCTATTTCTGGGTGATCTGGTCAACACTTTGTGTGTGGCACGTTTCTTACTTTTGGGAGTGTGGTTTCTTATATGGTCCTCTTGATTCCTCCTTTGTAAGTTTTCTTTCTTCTTACTGAAATGAAGCACAATTCTCCTGTGTTTCTGAGAAGAATTACCGTCAATTCTTCAATTGTGTTTCATAAGTTGTCTTAGTTTAGTTTAAGCATTTCCTTTATCTGGATTATATCCCGCTGCCCAGGGATAACCTGTGCTCCTTTGTCAAAAGTAAATCCTTTCATCAATAGTAACTACAGTACGATCCAATGCATTTCTTAGCTAACACAAGAAAAAGCTTGAAGCTGCCTGAAATAATCACACCTCATTCCTTTGAAACTATTCCTACTATTTTCTTATAGACTACAAGCTTACATTGTTATGAACAGTACACTGTGTTCGCATTAGGTTTTTTCTTTATGTTAAATTTTTGCAAGTTTCCTTAAACTGTTAACCCTTTTCCTTCAGGAAGAAGAGCATTCATTTTGTATCAATTGATGAGACTCGTCCTCTCTCTGAACAAGGCCCGTTTGATATTATATTGCACAAGGTTAGTCCTCATGCCTCTCTTTGCATGCATGAAATCAAAAACAGTATGCCATATATTAGTTAGGTTTTGTTAAACAACCATATTGTGCCTTTTGTCACTGCCTTAATCTTATCAGATATGTTAAAAACTTTTTCCTGTATATGCCATGCTGCCTAAGATATAATTTTTTTTCTGATTGATTTCCCTTTTTTATCAGCTTACTGACAAGGAGTGGCAGCAAGTTTTGGAGGTAGTCCTTGAGCACCAAAGCAAAAACTTTGATTCGATCAAAGAAAGAGTAAACACTCTTCAATTCATTTTTGTCCTTGTTGACCTTTTTCATCTTCTTGAAGGATTATCGTGAAGAACATCCAGAAGTAACTGTCCTTGATCCACCTAATGCTATTCAACATTTGCACAATCGCCAGTCAATGCTTCAAGAAGTTGCTGATTTGAACTTATCAAATGCCTATGGTAAGTTTTGCATATAATTATTGAATGTTGGTACTCATATGGTATCGAAGAGATTGTGTTATAGTTTCAATGTTCTTACTATTCACTTTAGTCCAAGTTAATGTTGTGATTTAACTCTTGTACGCATGAGATTACCATGTAGAACAGTAATACTGATCCTTCAAAGAACCTTCGCTCACAGTACAAAAATAGGGGATAAGAAGAGAGCATTATATTAATACCCACATTATGTAATTATCCATGAAATTTAGTGGAACTGTAAAAACAGATAAGTCTTTGTTATATTGCACTGCTTTCCTGAATTTGCAAAGTAGTTTCTTAGCATTTCTAAAAATGTAAACTGCAAATCTTAATACTGGCTTATGTCTGAAAATTACATACCTCCTCTACCAAGAAAAATGCATAGCCTTTTGTTTGTTATTTCTTGTGTTCAACCAATCAACCAATGCAGGTGAGGTTTGCACTCCACGACAGCTGGTTATCATGAAAGACCCATTGTCTATACCATCTGCAGTTGCCAAGGCTGGACTAACGTTGCCCTTGGGTGAGTTATACAATTATTCTACATCCATGCTCAGCCTTAAAATTAGAGCACACTATCTATGTCACTAAGTCTTCTTTTTGAGGAATATATATAGAGGAATTCTAGGTTATCAATTTCCAATTCATTTCATCAAATCTGTTAAAAAATGGATGGCAAAATTCTGGCATGATTCTGATCAGAATAGTACTCTATATACAGTTGCCAAACCATTGGTAGTTGATGGAACATCGAAATCCCATGAACTATCTCTTGCATATGTGGAGACATCCTTGTCAATGCTTGATCCTCCTCTGGTTCTCCAGGAATTTGTCAATCATGGTAACTTATTTATCATGTTCAATTCTTGTTTCCAAATCTTTTATCTGTCCTAACACTTCCTCAAATGTGGATATTGAAGTGCTGAGTTTTTTGTTGTACAGGTGGGATCTTATTTAAGGTATATGTTGTTGGTGAAACAATACGTGTTGTTCGCCGATTTTCTCTTCCTGATGTAAACATCTATGATCTGGAAAACAATGATGGCATCTTCCGTTTTCCGAGAGTTTCCTGTGCTACAAATACTGCAGAAGATGCAGAAGTTGACCCTTCTATTGCTGGTGAGCCTTCTGTGTTGCTGTCAGACCTTTATTATTCCATATTGGGTGTATAGTGGCATATTTCCAAACCTTACAAATTTGGGAGTTTGGAGTGGCATGTAGAGAACAGGAAATCAATGGCGTATCTCAGTTTGCAACTTTAGAGTGGCACATACCTAATGTTTCCTTTTAGTTTGGTCTAAACTATTCCAAGTTGCTTGCTTCATGGGCATGATAGGAGTCCTTTCGGGCTAATAAGCCTGTATTTTAGTCTGATGAATAAGCTATCTGCTAAATCTGTCTACTAAAAATATCAACTAGTGCAGCTCCCTGGTGGTTCTCCAGGGAAATAAACAACTCAATTGTTAAAGTTGTTTAGTCTGACCGAATACCAACTTTCCAATTATCAAATTATAAACATATTTATGTTACTGAGCAAAATGCCATAAAATGACAGAACTTCCTCCAAAGCCGCTTCTAGAGAAACTTGGGAGGGAGCTTCGGCGCAGACTGGTATGAGTAAATCCCATTCATGTTAACAATATCTGGTTTATCATTTGTTATACCTAACTGTAAAATATTTCAGGGTCTTAGACTGTTTAACTTCGATATGATTAGAGAGCATGGAAGAAAGGATCGGTACTATGTCATTGACATCAACTATTTTCCTGGTGAGTCACATTCTTGTGTTGTGTGTGGTCAAGTAGGGGGTGCTCTGTGCAGTTTTCTAATGCTCTGCCACCATGAATGCTCTACTATTTTCTGGACAGTTTACCAATGATTCGATTGTGTTACCATAGAATATAGCTGTCGTTTGCATACCTGCTAAGGGTAACATTGTATTAATTACTTGGAAGATTTACACCGATCTGTAGATTGGATTATGTTATAGCCATTTTTTGCGTTGAAGCTAAGCATAGCGGTGTCAGCAGGTCATGCTCATGCATTGTACATGCATATGCTTATATCTGTGGAAGTTCCTCCTGGGTGGATATGTGCATACGTAGAGCATAGAGATTGACATGACTGCCATTGTACTGAGATGGGCATCAGTTTTTAACTTCTTTTTTTTTTGTGGGGAGTTTTTAACTTCATTTAACATGACTGGAATTAGTTACTCTATTGGGTCACTTTCTTTTTGCTACCAGCACGTCATATATCCTCAAGATCATGTTATATGATTGTTGTACTTGAAATCCTGCAGGATATGGGAAAATGCCAGGCTATGAGCATATATTCATTGACTTCCTACTCAGCCTTGTGCAAAACAAGTACAAGAGGCGTTTAAGCGGGAGCTGAAGTGTAGAGAATATATCCAGCCGAGAGTGATACCATTGACAACAAAATGCCACCAATGTTAGCTGGCAGCTTAGATAGATTTTTTTTTTCAGTTTGTACAGGTCAAGGAGATGTTAGCTTTGAGGCAGATGCCTGACGAGCAGTTCAAAAAAAAAAAAGGCTGCTTAGTGCCAGGACGATATTAAGAACAAACAAAAAAAGGGAAAGAGAAAAAAGGTTCGGTCTCTCCGTGCCCAACCTGTGTAAATCGTTCACTGAGTTCCAGCCTGAAGCTTTTCAACAAAATGATGTGATTGCCCATTTCGATGAGCTCTATCTGTTGCGTGCTGGTGCTGTTTTTATTTGCTCTGAACGCTGAATTGCTGAATGCTGATGGATTCGTCGCTTCTGCAGTCTAATATGAGTTTTATCTCTGGATTGTCATATCGTATATGATGGAACTGTTGATTGAGGCTTTGATGTAAGTTGACATCTTCTGGCCCATCGTCCATCCTCCAAATGCAATGTTGAGAAAAGCCCAAGCCAAACGGGAATCGGAATCTTCATCTGGTGAGCATGTTCTTCTCACTCTTGTGTTTCAGCTAGAAACTAAATACACCTTTTTTTTATAATAGAAATAAATCCGACCTTTTCTTTTGAAGAAGCTACAGAAAGTAAATAGACTAGTACTCCTATAAGGGGGCATGTACAATGGTTATTAATAGTGGTCTCTTAGCGTTGCTAATTAGGAATACTTGTTGACATAGAGGAAAGAGAAAGAGGAGAGACAAAACATCGTTGTTATGCATGACAACGGCTTAACAACGACTCTTAGTCACTATAATATGAAAATATGGTTGCATGAGGATATAAATATGGAAAGAATATTAACAAAAGAAATGTCATCTCAATTATTGTAAAAACATGGTCTCTAAATAATCTTGTATTGTTTAAGAGACCATACCCGTCTCTACCATTGAACATGCCTAATAGAGTAGCCAAAATCTGCTGAGAATGCTGTCATTCAGGATGGCACCCATACATATCCTTGCATCACAAAACCTACATGCACGGTCTTAATCAGCTAGTGAAAGCAAGAATGTTTCCTTCACATCACGGTTGATTACTGGTGGGGTCGTTTTCAGATAAGAGAGCATTACGTTCATCTGGCCTCATCCTGTAAATTAAGAATTATTATCTCTTCCTGACTGTCAATCCCATTCACATACCATGAGCAATTCAATGCGATATAGCCGATTGCTATCTCATGGGAAGGGAGAGAATTTCTATGCCATAATATAAGCATTTCTCTGTTGATTCCAATATTCCATAAATCCCATCATTTCCATGATTCCACAATCAATTATATGCTTAGAAAAAGGATCTAAGTAATTCAAAATTTAAAAGTTAACAACTGAAGTGACAAAAGATTTCTTTCGACCTAACCTTTGTACTTGCTAAACAACATAGAAATCTTTATATTTTGGAATGGAGAGTATATTACGGTGAAGCATCAGCATTTGTGTAGACAAAGTTACCATGATAATTCCAAACTTATTGGACAGAATCACACAAGTTGATAACTGGATCATATAATAAATTATCGGCTCATGCCTTTTTCCGCATTGAAATGCATATCACAAGCTGAAAGAAAGCTCTCAGAACATTATCATGTTTGGTCAAGATCACATAATTTATCTGTACACATTACGCAATGAACTTATCTCAGAACTAACTAATGGAGTTAATCATGACCTTTGTGATTACTTCACCTAATGAATAGCGCTCTCCACCGCACAATCCACAAGTCAACACATGCCTTTTCTTTTTTTTTTCCAAAGGAGAAGATGTATGATATGTAGTAGACATCAAACCGGCCATTTATAAAGTTCAACGTCTCCAACTGATGAATGTTTGGTTCTCTCTCTCTCACTCTCTTAAAAAAAAGAGAGAAAAGAAATGAAAAGAAACACTGAATGTTTGGTCACACACATACCTTTTAGGTAGTGAGTGATCGAACGTGCAATAGGTCCTTAGGTCAAGTTTTGATAACAAAAGAAGAAGAAACATTGGTTGAAACAAACAAATGAATGCTATCAGGAGTCCCTTTCTCCCTTTTTTTTAATGAGAAGCCAAAGTCACTTTCTGAAAACCACATATTATGAATACTTTGAAAATGCCCAAATGATTGGTCTTAGTCATATGTTATTGCAGCAATGCAATGCAAAGCAAAGTGGAGGTATGGTTGTTCTGCCGGGCCTGCATGCTCTCTGAATTTCCTAATAGCCCCCACTATTGCTTCTGCTTACGGACACAAGCCAAGCAGAAAGATTTGCACCTAATGATAGGTTGCTATTATCAATCATTGCCTTGCTTACTTGCTGCAAGACATAAGGAATCTCAAACCTATTAACTAATCAACTTGTGCAGGTTAATTCCATTATATATATTTCTTAGAAAACATATACTAGCTAGTATATATTTTTAATCCAGATCAAGCTAGTTTGAGTACATGTAGATTTGAAGTGCTATATCCAACAAGAGGTACATATCATTTGAAGGTATTTATATGTTCTATTCTTGGGATTAACCAATAATTATATTATATTGTTTGGAACACTTTGTAGAGCATATGGACCACCAAGAACACTTAGCTTGTAGAAACCACCAAGAATTAAAGTGACGATGATGCGTGTTAGGGATCGATCAATAGATGAAGTGTTGCTTTTCTTTTCTTTCTTTCTTTTTGTGAACTTAAAGAAAAAAAAGTTGTTGAGATGGTATAAATCATTTGCAGGCCCACAGGAACTGCAGGCCATACTCATATATCTGGGAATATCAGAATTTTTCTCTCCGATCCATCCCTTTTGTCTGAAAATTCATTATTCGATCGGTGGCAAATCTAGGATCGATTCGATCCGGCAGGCAGGGCCCCATTAATTATATACTCATATCGATGGATCATGCATGCATTGTATTCAATTAATTCAACCTACTGTACGTAGTACTAATAACCAAGCAACACTTGGCACATGGAGATGGAAAATAAAACACACCTGTCGTTTTTGGTGAGATTTGCCGCCTTATTTACCTAGGATATTCGTCGACTCTCCACCCAAGAATTCGGTGCACTTGTTCACACCGATGACCAGATAGATAGGTAGATAGATCATACCAGTTTCAGCTTAATATTCTTCCTCAGTTACAAATTCTTTAATTATTATTACTACTCATCTATTGAATTAACAAATTCCTAGTGACAACTAATTAATTGAGCTAGTGACAGTTAAATTATAACAAATGTCAAAATTACATATAACTAATTAACTAGATTAATATCTTTTAATTTAGTGGACCCTACAGCTATAGCAAGATGCAATGGGTAGTTAATTGGGGGGAGGGAGAAAAGAGAAAGAAAATGCTTAATTGGTCCCATCATTTTCTGGCAATTATCTTCATTGGCAAGGGTATGGATGATGATAAAAAGCATGTTGACCACAAAAACTGGAGATGAGATGAGATGGTTGGTTGGATTGGATCATTGGTTGCATTTGATATGTCTATCTGTCTCTTACAATTTGCTGCTGGTGCCATGCTGCAAGAACGCTTTGCATGGCGGCCGGGCAGAGTGACCCATCAGAGATTGTGCAGGATTTGTTGATGGTGATTGGGAGCTGCTAGCTGATTCAGATCCCATCGATCGATCTCAGCACATACATACATACATACATACATACATACATACATACATACATATATATATATATATATTCACATGCATGTTTATATGGAATTACAATTAATTTCATTCATCGATCACTGGTCGATATGACCTGCATGCATGCATGCTAGCTTAATTCTTGTCCTCGCTCATCCCAAGCTAATATAATTAAGCTACCTATAGATAGATAGATATAGCCAATTAAGTCGTTATCACTAGTGATTGTTTGTTAGGTCAGGGACACACAGAGAGTAGCTATACTACTGTTGATGTTAATTTTGCCAATAATTGACGACCGATCGATCGACCAAAAGCTACGTTACCTACTTTATTCCTGCCCTCTCTCTCTCTATTTATATCTGCAGCACTCAGGTAGAGAGAGAGAGAGAAAGCATATGCATATGATTAATCATCATCATCGATCATCATAAATTGTCGATTAGTTCCTATGCACGGTCGCAATCCCAATCATCGAATTATCTATCTATCTACTCAAGAGGATATACTTGTCCCATATGTTGCACTATACACACGACTTTCTCTGTTGCCATGTGGCCATTGCTAGCTGCATTGAAAAGGATATTAAAAGTATATATCGGAGAAGGAATTACATACAACGTACTATCAGCTACTTCATCCGTCTCATAAAAAAATCAACCTAATATCGGATGTGACACATCCTAGTACTACAAATCTAGACATATATATTTTCAGATCCATTGTATTAGAATATGTTACATATGTCTAGATTCGTAGTATTAGGATGTGTCACATCTGGTTCTAGATTCGTTTTTTATGGGACGGAGGGAGTAAGTTCTCCGATCTATTATTAATTATTATTATGTTTTAGTAATGGATTGATGATTACTTGATTGCTTTGTTAAGTCATGCGTGCAAACTAAGAATTGTCGGTAGACAGACATGATTAGAATTGATAAAGAATCGTGTCCTTTCCTCTGTCGACATAACCCTGACCCATGAATATGCCATATCCCTTTCCTCTTTGGTGTGTAAAACAATGATGGAGATAATAATATTTTCTTCACTTATTGATATCAATATTATCATGCATGTTTGGTTCCAAATTAATTGGTTTGACAATAATATATATATGCGTTTGTTGTTATTTTACTGCGAGGGGTGCTCAGGAACCCGGCCAAGAAATTCTTTTAGCTATATCTCACCTATTTTTACCATGTGTGCACCCTTCTCAATTCAAACTTAGACACACATATCATCTTAAACTTGATCTAAAAAGTAGAGTTAATTAAGCAAGTGGCAGCCCCCTCTATTTCATTCTAGCTCCGCCTGCAGGGAAGAGGGAGAGGATAGGAAGCGTTGGGCATGAGTGGAGAGACTAAGAGTAGGAGAGGATAAGGGAGAGAGAGGGGGAGGTGTGTGTTATTAATTAAAAAGCCGATGGTTTGGTGGTTCGGCTCGACTTGGTTACAGGGTGTGTTAATAAAAAGCCAATGGTTCGGTGGTTCGGCTCGGCTTGGTTACAGAGTGTCGGTTTTCTAAGAAAAAAAACAACACTAAATATACTGTGTCGGTTTATTTAAAAACAAGTCTAGATATATTTATCTAGACTGTTTTTAAATAAATCGATACCT